ATTCCAATGATGGCAATACGAGCAGGAGATTTTTTGATAACCACGAATTATCTGCAGAAATTACAGGCTTCTTTACCGTCTAAAAGTAATATTAGATGCACTTTGCAGTGGCTATGCTATTAATTTGCCAGAGTTTGATAAATATGCACAGGAAACTGCTGAACTATATGTAAAGCTCTATGAATGTTATCCAATGTCTCCTACCTTACATAAAATATTAATACATGGATCTGAGGTTATCAAAGAATCCATTCTCCCGATTGGCCTTCTTTCAGAAGAAGCGGCAGAAGCTCGAAATAAGCAAATAAGAGCTTATCGCTTATCTTATGCGCGGAAATTTTCACGGGAGGCCTGTAATCGAGATGTGATTAATAGACTTCTTTTAACCTCAGATCCAGTCATTACTGGAATGAGAGAGAATCCCCCAAAAAAATCTAAGCCGTTTCCTGCTGAAGTTCTAAGCCTGTTACTTCCCGCTAATTTAGAAAATCTGAATTTAAGTTTTGATAATGATGAATTTTGAAATAAATGTTTATTCAACTTAGTTATTTGCTTTTTATTTATATAAATTTAAATTTTCTCAGTTAAGTATATAAGGTAAATACAGTAGGTAGTACCTTAGTAGGTAGGTAATCAAACTAGTACCTATAGTGAAGATCAGGCGTAATATGTATATTTTTTTAAAACCCTGCGGTTCTGCCGACCACCATATTTTCGATTATGGTCGTGAATATGTGATTACCTGCATCAATAAAGCGTTTAGAAAAGATTTTAATAAGAAAATAATATTGGCCAGGTTTTCGGTTCAAATACCCCATAGTGCGACGGTTAAAAACGTTAGAAGGAAGAACGTTGACTGATATGTCCACACACAACAGTTTTTTTCGCGCCAGTTTATCACGATGGAGACCATACGTGCTTGTTAGCAGTGGCAGCGGTTTTGGCAGTGGAAAAAAATCGCGAAAAAAGAAAATCTCGAAGAAAATGGACTAAAGACTAGCTTCTTAACCGCAGTACACTGTCACATACAAATCTACTGAAGGTGCTAAGATTGGAGCCTGGCGATTGGCACAGTTACTTGAGGATGGACGAGGATACGTATCGAAAACTGTTAAAACTAGTAACACCGTTAATTGAGAGACATAATACCCATTTACGGGAGTGCATCAGTCCTCACGAACGCCTAACAGCTACTCTGCGGTTTCTGGCCACTGATCGCAGCTACGAGGATCTGAAGTTTTCTGTTATTATTTCACCGCAAGCACTAGGACGCATAATACCCGAAACCTGCCAAGCTCGATAAACTTTAATAAAAAATCTCTGTTCCACTACCTAATATCCGACATTTTTATTATAAACAGTTGTAAATAATAATACACAACAAAAACTTGCTGAACGTCACTGCTACTGATAAATGCCCGACCAGTTAAACTGTTGAGAACACACACCTCGTGTTTACTCGAACGGTTGGCACGATAACCGACAAAAATCAAGCCTCGCCTGAAATTTTGGAACGACGTTCATAAACGACGTTCTTGCCCATACACCTCATTTTTGTGACATTTTTACCCTGACGTTTTTAACCGTCGGTTAAAAACGGCGGAGAAGAACGAGGTGAGTGGGGCCCTTTACTATTCGCTCCTTGCGAAGTCATGGTAGGGGAAGCAAAAGCGATACCAGCGCTAGCTGCGGATAATTCGTGCATTTTACTGCGATATTTTGTAATTTTGGCATATCAAATGTACGTTTTCATTTTACTTTTTATTCAAAGAAGTAGGTAAAAACAATACAATAAGCAACCGGAGTTGCTGTGTTGAAATTTGTACAAATACTAGCAAAAAAAAACTGAAAATTATAAAAATTTTTAGTAGCAATGTGGAAATTAAATCAAAGAAATAAATGGATAGGTGTTCAATAAGAAGAAAAATTACCTTAATTTTTGTAATAATAACAGTAATACTGGAAATAGTAGACATCAGAAACTTGAATGGTTTTAAACAAACAATAAATTATCATTTTACGATGTTCTTCAACATCCTTTTATTGTTAAATGTTCATTTAGCAAGGATTAGATTTCAAGATTTCTGCCTTTGATTATTGTATGTGGGCGGAATGCAATTTTGTGACTTACTGATGGGAAACTAGTTTAAATCATTCATTCTGTTTTCTTTCGAACAAAAATGAAAATATAAATAACGATCCTTCTTTTATACATTTTAACTTCACGCTATTATTTAATGGTATTTTTTTATTTTGACAGAATAGGTTAATTCTACAGAGACAATTTATTAGACTTAGGCAACTTCTCATACATTTTCCAGTAAATACTGTTGCCTGCCTATATTTTATTATTGATTTTTATTGATTATACTTAATGTTTTTTAATTTAAGCGATAAAAATATATAATAATAGTAAATTAATGTTTTACTTGTTTTACAAATCGATATACGTTTATTAAAACTAACATATATACTTTTTAATTACCAATTCTATTAAAAATTCTATATGTCAGTATACGAAGAAATAGTCCATTAGTACCTAAACGAATTGGCGCTACTGTTACGCACGGAGCGAATACGGAGAATGGTCGCACTGCGCAGCTTTCTGAGTGCCTTTTAAAAGGAGATAGAAAACTCCGCCATTTTGATGTCTTAATACGTGTTGCCTACATCTTGGCGCAATATTTTTATTATTTTGCTTGCTGCTGTCAGTGTCAGTGAATATTATTTTTTATAGCTGTTGTATGGAGTGTTTTGCTGGTTTGGCCGTTTGCCGTGATTTTACCATTTTTTTTTTGTATACATAAACCCCATCAAACAAGTTTTGAGGATTTATAAATCATTTTGTGTTTTAGACGTGATATACACGATTATTTGTAAGTAATTGGTGATTGTTTGTTAATTTTTAGTGCTTTGTTGTTCTCTTTTCATTGTCTAAATACCAGGATGTATAGACTACCAGTTCAACATTTAGGAAATATATGTGTTGCCTAACCTAGTAGTAAAGGCACAGTTCATTTCTAAAGAATCAGTTAGCTCACGGGGACCAGTTGAATATTCCAAAATAACATCCACTCCAGGGATACAAATTCAGGATGCGCAGAAGACTGCTGTTTGAATATAGGCGGTTGTCATATATTGTTTTATGTGAGTTGCGCTGTGTATAAACTGGAATATTGAGATCAAAAGTGCCGACGCAGAGTGAGCGAACTGATTCTTTAGCTATAAACTGTGGTAAAGGCATCAAAATGGCCGCACCCTATGTTGGGCGTGTCGGACCTCTTTCTTTCACCGTATAGTAATCAAAGTATGTGCATTCTCCGTATAGTTAGAGAAAATCAAAGTATGTGGTTAAAGTTAATAAATACATCGTGACATTTACGTGACATAACAGACAATGACAATTAATATTAGAATTTCTTCATTACTAATTAAAAAAAAAATAAAAAGTAATTTTGTTTGCGTTACCTGCATACGCCAGAGCCCGTGAGCTTCCTTATGTATTTATTAATTTACACGTTTAAATTTACATTCCTAGCATCACATTTACTCTCTATTGTTAATAGGTACTTGACGCAAGCGTTTTTAATGACAGCCCGCATTCAGTTAACTTGAAACTTCCTAAATATTAGGGTTGGTCCGTTATTACCGAAATATCGATTACTCGGTCCAAAACTAACCGCTCTGCTTGAAATTCCTGAAAAATCGGTTAAATTAGGGACGCGGTTACCTGAAAATGGTGACTCAAACGTCAATTCACTAACCACTATATTTTTACGTTCACTATTAATACGAATGTCATTCTGTTACAAAAGGGACGTAAATTTTGGCCGTGGTCCAAATGTAACCAAGAAATTAGTTTTTTCAGGAACTGCTGTCAAAAAATCCTGGTTACTTGCGGTTAGTAGTCGGTTAATATCGGACCATACCCTTAAATAGACCTATTTCTATAAACGGTGATATATGACAATATAACGTAGATTTTGAAGGGGGCTTTGGCTAAGATTTGCTCTGAAAATTAATTCCTTATCTTAAATTGTTGGTTTTTACATAACTGAACCCTAGTTTTTGCTCTGAACGTTGCAAAATATATATCGGTTTCCAGTTAACAAAACACTAGTTAAAAGATACAGATACCATTTTCACATACAGGTGTCTAAACTACAGTAACATATTTTTGGTAATTTTATTATAAAACTTAATGTTGGTTTCTGGGTAGAGACCGCTCTGACCTAGTAGGCACTGAACCTGTTAAGTTACTAATATTAAAATAGATATGAAGAAAATTTATTTTAGTAGAAGTCAGTTTAAACATGTTGGGGTCGGCAGTACAGAATATTTTGTGTTAAAGCTTCTTAAAATAATGATTGTATAAGGTATTTAATCTATCTACAATTATTATAATATGACGTATATTAAAAGAATATATATTATAAATAATTGTACCATTTTCTTGGGTAACTTTTTTAAATAAACTATAAATAGGGTAAAAGATTGCGGATAAATGTTCTTACAAACATTTAATATATTGTATATAAAATAACATTGTTTAACGTTATTTAAGAAGTTTTAAGAATTTTGACACAAACAAATGCATAGTACTTCACATATGCCTCCTAACTGGCCATATTGTGACACTGGACTTTATAGCTTCTTTGAATGGGTCTGTTTACGAAAGTTAGCAGTTTAGCTTTATTTTGGACTGTATTCTTCATAAAAAACATCGTCCAAATATTTAAAAATGCCTCATTTTGCTAACAGAATGCCCATCATGTGATAAAATAATAAAATGAGAAAACTTAAAATATATTATGTAGTCAGACAGTAAATATTAAAAAAAGATTATGTGAGAATGTGTACAGCAATTTTTGCATTTATAAGCATGAGCTATGAGGTTGCCCCCTGCTATCTTCCTTATTTTTAAATATTAATAAACAATGCTGACATATAATTGATTACGAATTAAATTGAAATGTTTATATAAAATTATATTGTTTTAGAATATGAAATACCTAGTATCAAAAATAGGAGGTAGTGTTAAAATGGTCGGCAAGCCCTCTTGGGCTATGTGTTTACCTCATAATTGTAACATTAGAGATACTAAGATTCTAATGAATAAATCACAACCATTTGGTTTTGGTGTAAATAGTGTTACCTGTCAGACGATTGAAGATGTGTATCCCAGTTTGACGAGAGACGCTGTAATTGGCATGTGAGTATCACTTTCTTTATTAGTTCTAAAACCAGAAATGGTAGACTGAAACCGAACTCTTTAAATAGTAATTACTTTTTTTTTGTATCTATTTTTATTATAATAACACTTGATAAACATAAACAATAATGTCATAGTGACACTGCTAGGTGTAGCAAGCAGGGACGTATACAGATTTTAAGTCTGGGGGGATAATAAAGAAAAAGACAACAATTAAAATGGAGAAAGAATATAATTTTTAAAAATAATCTGGTTATTCACGATCTTTTATCGATTTGAAGATTCTAAGATTCTAGAAGCTTTATTTAGGATGAGTAGAACCTCTTCTCGACAGACAGTGAGCATAAGCATAAGATAACCATAAAATACCATATTTACTCCCTATATATAAGAAAACACATAATAAGAAAGCTCATGCTTAGAGAACTAAACCCCAAGCATTGTTGCTGAGTAACTACAGCTCGCAAGGTCCCAGATATCCACCATTGTAAAATTACTAAGGGACGTTATTTGCTAAAAAACCTTTATCTGATGGGGTTACACAAAGATCCCGCCACTTTTAGACTCTGCGTGGAAGAAGAAGAAACTTATACCATGCTGCCTTCGAATGCGAAATTCTTGCTGGGCGGCAACACAGCCTTTTTGGTTAAGAACCGGGAAGAGCGCCCCAAGAATAATTGATAGAGACTCTTGTAAAACTAATCAGGCACAGGAATATTTAAAGGTAGTATTTTAATACCTAGAAAGTAGGGAATACAATAGCTCCAAGAGGCTGCAATGTTCAGTAATAAATGTAATAACACCTGCTTATAAACAATGAAGATAAAGTTAGGATGCTAAAGTATTAATGAGAGCAATTGTCACAATAGTCTGGGAGAGCTCAAAGACATTACTTCATTTGTATACATACACTCCTGGTAACAAGATAACATTCCCTTAGATGCGTAGTATAGTCTGCAATAATATGCGATACACTTTTGTAGTTTTATCTTTCTATATACAAACTCGTAATACCTCTATTCATGATCACAATGTTATTATAAAAGGGAATTTACGGGCTTATAAACCTGGTGCTGCCACTGTCACGATTTTTTGTTTACTATTTTGTATGTTGGTGAACCTTTTCATAATCTGTTAACCAATCGGCCTTGTGAAGAAGGAAGAAATGATTTGTATTTCATTCTCCTTGCCTCTTCGGGAGCGTTGGACGAATCTGGGGTCTGAAGGACTTGATTCTAATGCTGCGAGTTGCACGGTCTGTAATTAGAGTGGCTTCTTTTTCTGTTCGACCTTCCTGGAACCAAGCCAGAAAATAATGCACCTCAGTAGTGGGTACACCCATTAGTAGCAACGTATAGAAATATGGAAGCGACTTATTTCAGACCCACTATTCACCCCACATACCTTTTATATATTGTTTATAGACAGTACCACATACTGTAAAAGAAAATCAAAGTATGTGGACAGTACACTCAATGTATAATTTTCGTAGCTGATTTCAGCGCCCTCACAGTGGTGGGGGTTTAAACTAAACGATGGCGGCAATTTTTGAATGTCTGAATAATTTTTTGGAAGCACTCTTTGAACGTGGTGATTATGTGTGCCATTACAGTTGAGATTTGATTACAATAAGCAAACAAATCGTAACTATAATGGTTTAATCATGTTTTGGTGCTACATTTTTTTATGAAATGAAACCATTTATTATATTTATAACGATTTATTTATAAAATGTAATTTTAGGGTATTATTTTAACTAAAACTAAAAATAGCTAAAAATAAGGCAATAATAATAGGTACATGCAAAATATTAAGATAAAATAAAAAAGATTCAAGTGTTTTAATTTTTTTAGTTTTATCTGGTTTTTCTTATTTCTTATATTATATGTATCTTGTGCTAGCAAGAAGACGTATTTTACCATTAAAATAATGTAACAACCTAGAACCCGGAACACTTACACTTTACAATCATGACTGAAAGTTTATCCATTATCTCAAATGTAATGTGGTCACATTAATCCTTCCTCCATGTGGTCACTGACCAATGTAAGCCGAAACTAATCGCGACACTGTCTATTAAATAAACTTTATGCTGTGGTATTAATTTTGTGCTTTATTTCCATTTCACTATTGACTTTCTGTTTTATTTTCATTTTATTATTTAACAATCAGTTCAAAAACAAACAAATCACTCACAAAATTCATAAAAATAATAAAGAAATAAGAAATATTTGTGGTTATGTAGGTATCAAGTACACAAAGTAGGCAGTGTTGTCACGGTCAAATGGTGATAATTCTCATCAATTACCCCACCAATAAATGCAATAGTGACGATGAAAATATTTTAAAACATGACTTTTCAGCAATAGTACATACTACTAAATGAAAAACGGCAAAAACGCTATAATCTTGCATTAATAAATTATAAATCAATTCATAAAAGTTCATTAGTTAATTAAGAATACCCAAAAATGGGGTAAAATTATTGCTATTGGCAACGCTGCACAAGCGTGTCCTATAAACGGTGACGGTGGCGACCTCACGACGGCGGGGACCTCACGACGGCGGGGGTATGAAACTTAACACGCATTGACCTTGACGGTAAGAGTGGATACACTGTGATTCACCCGTATAAAACTCGGCATGGAGTTATAAGGCAGGGAGACGCTATAAACATTTAAAACGATATCACTGGGCGTGGCTTATGAAGACTCAATATAGCCGATCCACCAGAACTGGACTATTAGGAATTTAACCAAACTCTTCATATTTTTTTTTTCTTGAAAATGTGTTATATTTATTAATTATCATAAAATGGACTATTTAGGATATAATAACTAATTTTCAGTAATTTTAATTATTGACAAAATAAGTTTCATCGGATAAAAATGTGTGGAGGATTTTATGTTACATAGTATTTTATAAAATAATTACATCTGCAAAAAATGTCATTTGATATATAATTTTTTAACGAAACTGTGCGTGTTTGGGACACTAATATACTTATCCATATCAATTTTATTTTCGAAAATTTCTATATCTTTAATACTATTTTGAAAGACAAAGGCTTCTTATAATGAAACTAAAGTAAATTTATAGAATTTAAGACATCAAAGATAATATTGATCATTCTTTTAAATTTAATTTGTTTTGCCAGCTTGTTGTATTAGTCCATGGAATTGGTACTTTTTGTCTTACATCAAATAAGGTAGTTCTGATTTTTTTATATGTTGGTAGTGATCAGATTTTAATGACAAATCCAAATTTTTCACTTCGAAAACTCTTCGGATCATTGTTAAATACTAAAAATATTATTTAAATTTTAGGACTTTTTTTCAGTTTTTGTCAATTTTTACCATCAAGGACCTGTGTTACGGCAAAAGTTACTATTTACACTTTTTAAGTACACTAAATTTGCAATGAAATGAGAATAATTTTGGTATGCTAAATAGTTTATAAGATACGGCTATTTAAAAGTTTGCAATATTTCAAAAAAAGGAAGTATTACTTTATTTTTAGTTTGCGACAATTTTTACCCCTAAGAAATGGGTCTATGGAAAAAGTTACTTTTTTCAGTTATAAAAGTCTACTTAATTATCAACCAAATGAGACCAATTACGTCAACTTACACTTGATAGTTCCTGAGACACAGCTATTCAATGTTGTTGAGGTAAGTAAACAGTTATGTACTAGATGGGTTTGCAAAATGAAGTACGCCCTGTTAGTGCAATAAGCATTATAATTTACTGAAATAAACATTTAACTAATTAAAACATTAATATGAAAAATGTAATGAAACGCCTCATTGTATTTTATGTACAGCACAGTAAGGGAAATAGTTATTACTGGCATTTTTTTGTATATTTTTGATAGACCAGGCTCGTTCTCTGAATCCACATCACACCTTTTGGGGGCAGCTTGCTGAGGTAGAATGTTCCTCATCGAACTGCTCAGGAAGGTCGATATCGTCATTTGATGTGCCATCAATGAATGGTTCATCAATGTTGTCACATCAGGTCTGGTATGGTCTCGCAAGATTGGCCAGTGCAGTAGCTGCAAACAGTTGAGCATTTCAGTCCTGCTTTCCTGCAACCACAACTGCTAATACAACCTTTTTTGCAGTTATAGAAAATCACATTTAGCAAAGCTTGAGAAGTTGGTGGTGCCATCATCTGTTGATGACCGAGGGCTTGTGTATTCCACATCCAGCCCCAATTGAGAGGATTCTTTTTATTTTACAGCCACTTCTGTACCTGAAATAAAATCAACAACAGAGTAAGGAACCATGTATAAAGAATGTGGTCTGAGGCAGAAAAGAATATAAGCAAAAAACTTATTCTCACCTGGTGAAATCTTGCCGTATCCCGGGTTGGAGGTAATCTAGCGAGGTTCATGTTGGGCTTAACTGCCGCTCTAGTAAATAAATGGAAGTGAAGATCGCCAATATTTTGCGATTCTCTGTTGCCTCCAAAACGAGGAAGGTCTCTCCTGCATCGGCAATTTGCTCAAGTGTGGTAAGAAAACCTCTGCGTTTTGTTCGAGGCGTGACTGTTTTTTTATTGTCGATAGAAATTTCATTTTTCCTTAGCCAAAAGGTGCTGATGTTGTATCACAACCGCTAAATGCGTGAAAAAACAGTGCTATTCCGGTTTGTGCGTAAAGGAATTTGTTGAGTAGGTGAAATTTGAGTTTCTCCTTTCCCACATTTTAAAAATATAATATTGTTATTTGATCTGTGGGACGAATGTGGTCTCCTACGTCTCGTGACACACCACAAAGTAAGACCAACAAATCTATATCTTCGCCGACGATCTTCACTAGTTCGTAGGAAGAGAATATAGAAATGGCTGTGGTTACTATTAAACTATCACTTATAATGTTAGAATTTTGTTCTTTTCCAGCTGAACCTTCATCATGTCGATGAGTCTTACTTTATTCCTATCATTCAAGAGGAACTTGTCCTAAGCAACTAGAGCAATAGTTGTTTTATCGAATATAACATCAAGGAAGGACGTTGCTAGAACTCTATGCAGACGTTCAGAGCTCTTGGTACTTTTGTCTGATGCGTCAGACGGGTGGCCATCGAAACCTACAGTTATATTTGAGCCGAAATGATTTCGCATCCCCTTTATAAGTCGCCGTGCTTTCCGGACCTACAATGTACCTGACGTTAGCATATTAGTTTGAATAACGAATCGGTGACATAGGTTTTTGTTGTAATATTTCTTCGTGATATTAGTTGCAAATAAAAGTAAAAACAAATTCTATTATAATATTTAATATATGTTTTGTTACACATAAAAGCAAAAACAAAACACACTTTCAATCAAAATCTACCAGAGAACTAAAAAAATTTGTAATATTTCCTTTTTTTTTTTGTAAACTATCTCGCCTTCCAAAACAAAATTACATAATTGTTTACTTACCTCAACAACGTTGAACAGATGTGTCTGAGGAACTATCAGGTGTAAATTGACATACCTAATTGCTCTCATTTTGTTGGGAATTTACCGGAATTTAATAAATAAAAGAGTAACTTTTGAGTCATTCTTTAAATGACCGTACCACTGGTTTTGTTATTTTTATGTTTAGTGCATGTGCAAGTCGTTTTTCTACAGCAAAAATCAACTTAATTTTTTTATTTTATAATCTTATAAATTCAGTTTTTTTTACCTTTTTTCGCAAATATAGATTATATCTTACCTTTCGAACTTCAGGTGTTTTAATATCTAACAGTTATTTGGAAAGAAATACAAAATTGAGTTGATTTTTGCTGTAAAAAAACGACTCGCCCATGCACTAAACATAAAAATAACAAAACAAGTGGTACGGTCATTTAAAGTTAAATTAATTCCTTATTCCTTCATATGAATATCAGAGCACAAGCGACCATTGTTTAACTTCTAATATTTACATAATATTTAGTTTCCAAACAACATAAAAATTAAAAGAACGTTGATTGAAATCACGATTAGCTGTTTGACGGATTATTTAAAAAAATGATGAAAGTGAACTCGACTTATCGTCGCTTAAGTTCTAACACCACGTAAGTCATGTTGTGGCGGTTTTGACATTTTGATGCCATTTGGTAGAGAATCGGAAGACGCGTCGTTTCAGCCAATCAGAAAACAGCAACGGTCAAAACAAACTAATAAAATAAAGTAAACAGCAACAACACGGGATCCATCAGTCAGTTGATAGCGCTGGAAACAGCACGTAAGTCAGTTTAGTCCCATAGTTTGAACCAATACTGCAGGTTGCTCCTGAGAAATAATCAAAAAAAGGTATGAAATATCATTGTTTCTTTAAAAGTTTGTATTATTTCGTTTGTTTTAGATATTTTTACTCTTTAAATTCGATATTTTTATATTAAAAAGACTTATTTTAATTAGAAAATGATGTTAAAAGAGTGTGGGTGACTTACGTGTTGTTGATTCTTCACGAGTCGGGAGTTACGTATTGTTGTGAAGTAACGTAATAGATCTAGTTTGCGTAATGATAATCTATTTTCTTTTGTATTAAAAATAGAATTAGTTAATTAAAGTATCTCATTGACATCATGAATGTAGATATGCCTACTTTTTTAAGCAATAATTGCTTTTTCTTATTTACAGAAAAAAATAAAAATGAACAGTGACAGCAGTAGTGACGATACTGACGAAGACGAAATGATACTTGAAATGTGCAAAGAGTTAAAAATTAAACTTCCTGCGAAAAAATTAAAACAAGAGCCAGTTAAACAGAATACTACATTCGAACTCTCAAATCTAGAAAATGTTGATATAAATAATTTACCTATTCTAATTTTACCCCCCAATGAAGCTATAACTAATTTTTCTGGTTTCGGTTCACATACTTCGCCACAAATTTTAGGAAACAATTATTTAAATAATATTGCTGAAGAAGTAATCATCTTAGTAGAAGAAGAACAATCGTCAGTAGTAATAGAAGATCGAGTTATAGAAACATCAAAAACACAACACATTGAAGAAGTATCTAAAAAACCAACTGAAGAAGTGCTGAACGAACAACCAGGAATATTATCGGAACAAGAAGTAACAGAAGCAAGGAACGAAAAAGAACGGGATCTAACAAATCAAATTGTAGTTGATGGACTAAGGGAAGAAGAACAGAATGGAAATCAAGAGGTTGCTGTTGATGCTGAAGAAGCTAATGAAAACGAAAACAACTTAAATGAAGAATTTTGTGGAGATCTTAATTCTAAAAGAAAGAGAAAGTCTAAAGGTTTAAAGTCAAAAAATGCCGAAAACGAGTGGACCAAAAATAAATGCAAGAAACTCAGATTAGATGGAAAGCAATACATGGGATATCGGCGAGATAGCAAGCAAAAAAAGTTTAAAGTTTTACATGATGTTATCCGACCTGCACGTAAAATAGGATCTCGCTGTTCTTCTGAATTCTGAAGTCCAAACTTCGTGCATGCAACAACATAACAGAGGAAGAAAGACAAAAGATTTTTTCATTTTTTTGGGAGCAAATGGAATGGTTACAGAGGAAGCAGTATGTGGTTTCTAATGTTGAATTTGAAAGTAAAAAACAAATAAAGCAGACAGATGAATCAAGACGAAATGTTAGTAAGCAATATTTTCTTACCACTGAGTCTTAAGGTCGTATTCAAGTATGTATGAAAACTTTTTGCCGAAAAAGAAATGACAAAAAAAACAGAAGTGATACGACCACCTAAGAAGGTAAAAACAAAAGGTAATCTAGAAAAGTTTTTTGATGATTTACCGAAAATGCCATCCCACTATTGTCGTGCATCAAGTACTAAACTTTATTTAGAACCAGTTGTACAGAGCAAATCGAAACTATATCAGTTGTACTGTGAGAAATGTAACGAACAGCAGGAGGTGCCTCTCTCTCGATGGGTATTCGATCAAATATTCATAGAAAATAATTTAAGCATATTTTTGCCAAAGAAGGACCAATGCGATATGTGTTGTTCTCACAGTGTAGGAAACATCAGTGAAGGTGAGTATCGTGAACATATATTAAAGAAGAATAGAGTCAGACAAGAAAAAAATCAAGATAAGTTAAGAGCTGACAATAAGGAAGTGCATGTCTTTACACATGACTTGCAATCGGTACAGCTGTGTCCTAAACTGGAAGCCAGTGCAATATATTATAAGACAAAATTATGTGTTCACAACTTCACAACATACAATCTTGGAAACAAGGACGTGCAATGTTATTGGTTCGATGAGTGTACTGCAGGGTTGGTGTCTTCTGTGTATACTTCCTGTATAATAGACTGCCTGAAAAAAACTCTAGCCAAGGAGGTGTTACCTATAATTTTGTACTCTGATAGTTGCACAGCACAAAACCGAAATGTGGTTTTATCTAATGCACTGCTGGAGTTGGCAATGGACTGCAACATCCAGATAACCCAAAAAATTCTTGAAAAGGGTCATACTCAGATGGAGATAGATTCTTCTCATAGTGCAATAGAGTGTCAAATAAAAAGCAGAGATATCTACCTGCCATCACAGTATGGGTTTCTTTCAAAAGAAGCTCGTCCTAAGCAGCCCTACAATGTTCATTTTCTTAGCTATGACTTTTTCCACGACTATTCTAAATATCTCATGTACGATTCAATTCGACCAGGTAGAGTTGCTAATGATCCAGTAGTTACAAATATAAGAGTATTACTTTATGAACCTGTAGGCCTAATAAAATATAAACTGAATTTTGATGACGAATACCTACGCATTATTGCCCAGGAGACCTAAAGCAAGAAGCGTTTTGCCGAAACCAAAGCTGTACCAAAGCAGACTTCCAATATCACAGATAAAGTGGACTCATTTGCAAGAACTGAAACGTAATTCCTAGTGATTGTCATAGTTTCTACGACGGTTTACCGCATAAATAAGATCTCATTTATATTTTATTGCTGTGAACAAAAGTTTAAGTTTATTTCTTGAGAATTTTCGAGTTTTTGTTTTATTTTATATTAGAATATTTTATACTTAGGTAACATTATCTATCTATCACATTGTGATTCTAAATTGCTACAAGACTCATTAATTTTCATTAAAGATAGATTAGTTTTAAGGAGTTGCTAAATTAGTATGGATCTCATTTAAAATAATTATAGATAATAATAAAAGTGCAATTCGACCCAAAGTAATTACTATTAAGGATACATGTTTGGTTAAGAAAATAGAGTTTTAATAAAAATAAACGAGTTATTATTTTTTTTTTTTTCGTTTTTATTTTCTGATACAAACATACGTAAGTCATGCCAGTTTTGGTATTAAAGTAAGACAACACAACGTATGTCAAAAAAAATCGGGTTAATTACAAATTTTTACTAAATAACAATGGTCCTATATTATTGATCTAATTTAAAGTATACACAAACTATAAAATGATAATTTAATGATATCTATGTAAAATTATGCAGTTTTTTCACTCTCCTGTAAAGTTGCTATATTTGACTTACGTGTTGTTAGAACTTAAGCGACGTTATCCCACGTGACAGTGTCTCCCTTGAAACCAGGGAACTTGCTTAAAATATACGTGTTTTATCTCTTTAGACATAATAAATAGCGCAAAGAATCTATTAGAAATGTAGTGTACTAAAATAAAATATTTACTTTAGCTGATAACGTTCATTGACACCTGTTGTTTTTGAATGGAATACTGATAACAATTATCATATATGACTGAAATACTAATTTGTTTTTCTGTTTTAACCAAAACAAAAATATTAGTAACTTAGAAAAATAATTATTGCGATTTACATATTTATAAATACTGTAAATTTAGATTTTTATGTCAAATGGTACACTTCACTAGTCAAAATAACATGTATTATTGATCTTCAAAACAAGATCATCTATGAAAAATTGTTTAGGAAAGATTTCTTAGGCCGGTACTCATTTTGGGCTGAAAACGAAATTAAATTCATTACTCCAAATTCATAAATTACTTTTTAGTACACGCATTATTTATCTCGTTTAATTTTATTTATTTTACCACAAAATTACAAGATAACCTAATCTTATTGTATCTAAAACACATTTTTTATGATTCCAACGAAAAAATCAAAAAAACAATTTGATAATAGTTAACTTTACTTTGGAACATTTATATATTTACATATTATAGGTATATTTTTGAACTATGTGTGCGATCTTAAATAGTTTTATCCCATCATAAATGAATAATTTTGTTTTAAGTTAAAAAAATTAATGTTTTTTTATAAAATTAGGATAAAAAGAAACTTAAAACGCATATTTAAAAAAAAACAGAAGGTGTGATATAAAAAAAATATGAACAAGAAGACAGAGCCATACATAATATTAAAAAAAAAATTATTTATAGTAACACAAAAACCAAAAAAACTAACTCAAACACGTCGACGAACACTACGAAAACGCAAATTTTTAATTTCTTCTTCCTCTACCTAAAATAATCGATAACAGAAAACAGGTTTTCTTTTTAGTTTTTTGCGATTATTTTTCGATGTACGCTCATCATGAAAAGCGCAGTCAGCCTATTTTCATTCATTATTCGCTCTGTGCATGATAGTAGCGCCAACTAGTTTATGAACTAACGGACGATATTTGCGTATACTGACAATACAATTTTTAATGGAATTCCTAATTAAAAAATATATATGTTGATTTTATTAAAAGTATATTGATTTGTAAAACAAGTGAAAAAATTAATTATTATTACTATAGCTAAAAAAAAATGTATGATATGTTGCCCAAGCCTAATGAGTTGTCATTGAAGAATAAGTTAAATAATGTGAAAATAAAAACATTACCATTATATATTAACGTAGTATCAAACCGTATTAACAAAAATAATTAGTAAATTTGCTATTTTAATTTATATTTTTTTTATTTTTAGTTTGAAAGAACCCATAGAAATAAATTATTAAAGTTGGTTTTTTATCAATAAGTCACAAGATTGCATTTCAGCCACATACAATAATCAAAGGCAGAAATATAATCCTTGCTGAACATTTAAGAGTTGAGGGATGTTGAACAACATTGCAAAATAATAATTTATTAAAAAACCAAAAAAGGTTGACAGCTGTGTGCACGTAGTTTAGATTCAAAAAGGAAAAACTTGTATTTCGTGCAAAACTTTTTTACTTTCCTATCTGTATACAGATATAAGGAAAGTATAGGAATCATGATTTTTTTCGACCTCGAGTTTTCGACGGATTTTTACGTTTTGAGGTCCCCTGAATCCGTTTTGACTATTTTCGCGATGATGTCTGTGTGTGTGTGTGTCTGTGTGTGTGTCTGTGTGTGTGTGTGTCTGTATAACGCATAACTCATGAACCGATACACGGAAAAACACCAAATTTCAAACTTAAGCTTTGTTCCAACGTCTAATGAGCTGATTAGATTTTGGGCAGAGTCGGAACATCTGGGGGGGTACTTTATAGGTGGTCATTTTTATATTTTATAGAATATATCTGTTATTTACGTTTGGGGAAGAAAATTCTTCAAATGAAAGTTACTTCTTATTTTATTATCTATAATTTTTGTTATATACAAAATTTTCCTAAAATGGTCCGTATTCGCGAAATTTGACAAAATGTAAAAAAATATTTTTTTTTATAAAAATTGTTCAAACAAAAGTTGTTTGTAATATAATTCTCTATAATTTTTATTCTATAGATAATTTCTCTAAAATGGACCGTATTCGAGATATTTGAGAAAATGTGTAAATTTCGAAATTTGAAGAAAACTCAAAAATGGATAAAGAAAAAAACATTAAATTTTAAACTTAAGTTTTATTTCGGCCTGACGTGAAATGATTAGATTTTGGACAAAGTCGGATCATCTGGGGGGGTACTTTATGGGAGGCCGTTTTTATATTTTATGGAATATATCTGTTATTTATGTTTGAAGAAAAAAATTGTTCAAATAAAAGTTACTTCTAATATTATTATCTATAATTTTTGCTTTATGTAAAAATTTCCTGAAATGGTCCGTATTCGAAAAATTTGACAAAATGTGCAAAATTCTGATTTTTATGAATATTGTTGAAATAAAAGTTGTTTGCGATATCGATCTCTATAATATTTGTTTATACATGATTTTTTTAAAATGGACCGTAATGGAAAAATTGTAGGAAAAGTGCCAAATTTAAATTTTTCAGTATTTTCATTTTCAATGAATATCTATAGAAAAATGTTTCGCGGTAGATGTATGTATGTGGACAATGTATATATTTAGTTTATCCTCTAAACATTTATAGAGATGCTGCAATAGGTTGTACAAAATAACCGGAAAAATCCTGTAATACCTAGATAGGAAAGTCATGTGTTGGACACATCAGATTTTTATTAATGCAAAGCGCTTTCGGCTTATTTGCCATCATCAGTGCTCATTGTCCACAACGTATCCAACAAGTTCCTGGTCATCCTCACTCCCAAAATTATAAATTTCGGGATGTTTACAACTTGCTAAATCATAATTTTATTAATATTAATATTTTCAAATTTAAATTTATCTCATTTTGGTTCAAGTTGTTTAACCGTTTCGTCATGTATTAATATTAATAAAATTATGATTTAGCAAGTTGTAAACATCCCGAAATTTATAATTTTGGGAGTGAGGATGACCAGGAACTTGTTGGATACGTTGTGGACAATGAGCACTGATGATGGCAAATAAGCCGAAAGCGCTTTGCATTAATAAAAAAGTTTTGCACGAAATACAAGTTTTTCCTTTTTTAATAATTTATTGTTTATTTAAAACCTTTCAATTTTCTGATGTCTACTATTTCCTGTAATTTAATTTCCATTTTGTTACTGAAAATTGATATAATTAACTGTTTTTCTGCTAGTATTTTTTACAATTTACACAACAACCGCTATTGCTTTTTCTTTTGTTTTTACCTACTTTAAAACAAAATTATATAAGTACGTGTAAGATATAGATATGGAATTAATATATTCAACCTATTATATTCGTCAACTCTATTAGCCTGAATATTATTTCTATGAGATTGTTGTCCGTAATTCGTGGCATTTTGATTTCTATACCTATCATGTTTACCTATTTCTTCTATTTCCTTGAACAATTCAAACAATTTAAAGGCTACCTAACATATTATGCCATGTGTTTATTGTTATGCGTGCACGGCGACAATCGACAATGGGGTTTATTCTGTAACAATTCCTTTATATTTTATTAGCCGTTAAAATATTGGCGGCCTTTAAAAATATTTTCGTATTCACTAAACTACTTCTGTCATTATTTAAACGGTTTCCTTTAAAATAGTCCTCTAATAATAATCATTTTTAAAGGAATGTTAAAATTCACCTTTAATTTTTAACGGGACCGATAATGGCGTTTTATGATATAATTGGAGAAATTTTGATTGAAGAGTTACTGGAATATGAAGAAAGGTATAATAAAGTACAAAACATTTATAATGTATTACATTTAAATATTTCAGAGCCGAATTTCGATTACATCAAAGGTCAATAACTATAGGGGCTTGAGAATCCATTTCAGTAAAAATATTTTTCGGTTTTTACTATTGTAGCCAGAACTATAGTTAATATTATATTATCCCCACACATGGGGCCATCTCGAAGAAATACAGCAATATCAGCATATTTAAAAATACTTGCAACTAATTTTTTTTTTTTGAACAGGAGGATAAGGATACCAACTATCTACAAGACAGGGATATAATAGTGCTTTTAGACAATCAATAAAATTGATTCATCTATATCTTTACTCATAATTATTATGAGTAAAATATAGCTGAAGTAACAAATATAATTTATAATTTGTAATTCCTAATTCGAAAAATA